ACTGCGAGGGGGCGTGGTGTTACTGTGAGGGGGTGTGGTGTTACTGTGAGGGGGTGTAGTGTTACTGTGAGGGGGTGTAGTGTTACTACGAGGGGGTGTGGTGTTACTGTGAGGGGGTGTAGTGTTACTACGAGGGGGTGTGGTGTTACTGTTAGGGGCTATAGTGTTACTGTGAGGGGGTGTAGTGTTACTGTGAGGTGGTATAGTGTTAATGTGAGGGGGTGTAGTGTTACTACGAGGGGGTGTGGTGTTACTGTGAGGGGGTGTAGTGTTACTACGGGGGGGTGTGGTGTTACTGTGAGGAATTGTGGTGTTACTGTGAGGGGATATAGCGTTATTCTGAGGAGGCGTGGTGAGACAGTGAGGCGGTGTGGTGTTATTGTGAACAGGCATGGTGTTATTGTGAAGAGGTGTGGTGTTACTGTGAGGAGGCGTGGTGTTACTGTGAGGAGGTGTGGTGTAACTGTGAGGAGGTGTGGTGTTACTGTGAGGAGGCGTGGTGTTACTGTGAGGAGGTATGGTGTTATTGTGAAGAGGTGTGGTGTTACTGTGAGGGTGTGTGTTACTGTGAGCAGGCGTGGTGTTACTGTGAGGAGGCTTGGCCATAAGAAGTATTCCTGCCCTCACAGCGCCTGCTCACAGACATGGAGGGCCTGAAGCAGCAGGTGCAGGCAGTGCAGGTGTGCCAGAGCGGTCTGCGTGTGCCCGAAGAGGCCGTCACCAGCCTGCCAATCTGCCGCACTGCCCTGGCTCTGGCACAGGAGGCCAGCCAGCTGCAGCACACTGCCATCCAACAGTGCAACATTCTGCAGGTAGGGGGCACCACTCGTCACCACAGAGTCACACTCACACACCATAAGTCCACAAGTAGATGACTGAATCTCACGTATGCTTACACACAAAGTCTCTCTCTCTCTGTTTCTCTCTCTCTGTCTTACTCTTTCGCTCTCGCTCTCTCATTCTCACCCACGCCACACTTCCTGTGCTGCCATTGCCCTTCCGTTATGCTGCCGTTTCCCAGGAGGCCGTGGTGCAGTACGAGCAGTACGAGCAGGAAGTGCGTCACCTCCAGAGGCTGATCGAGGAAGCGCACCGTGTCATTCAAGACCGACCCGTCTCCACCAGTAACATCCAGGAGCTGCAGGCCCAGATCCTCCACCACGAGGTACCGTCCCACAAAGCAAACTTGCGTCTGTGTCCTCCTGGGTGAGCCCCAGGACGGGCTCGTGTTTTCTTATGAGCATTGTTCAGATGAAGATCTGCTCTCCAAAAAAGTCTCTTAGGTAAAGATAATGTCCGCCCTCCCCAGGGACTGACAACAGAACCCTTTTTTTTTGAGTTTTACAGCTGCCTAAAAGCTTTCACTTTCCCACTCGCAACTTTTGTAGTTTTTCATGCATCTTTGCAGCAAGGTGGAGTTCAGTCTGCCTTGCAGTGGAATCTTGTGCATTGTGGTGATTTTGAGAATTCGCTAAGTTTCCCACAGACTGAAAGTCTGCCTGGAGGTCAGTGGTGCCGGTGGCCGTATCTCTGTGCCTTACGTTCATGCTGAGGGTGAAAGCTAAATAAACCAGTGTCTCGCTCGTCGCCGTCAAAGCACCACCTTGTTTGCTGACTGATTGATTTACGGCTGCGAAAGCGGCAGTTCTGCCTTAAGCTATGTAGACTTGCTGGTTGCCGTTTCGGTCTCTCAGATCCTCTGCCCAGGAATGCTTGTGGGTCACCTGAATCTCTCTCAAATACCTGCACCGCTGATGTCAACACGTCCCGGTTGCACTGGTAAAACGGGCCATGCGGGGGAATGTTTAGGGTGCGGGCCTTCATGGGACGTCAGCGGGGAGCTTCAAACACAGAACAATCTGATCACCTGATCTGGCCTATAGATCACCCAGATATACCAGCCGTCTATACCTACCATTCACCACTAGGTGGCACACACCCTCTTCCAGAAGGAGAAGAAGTGCAAACTGGACGACAGATGGTGAAAGACCAATTTGTGGTCCAAGTATTTTTCACTGCTTACAGTTTACTGATGCGTGTTAGTAGCTGTTACTAACTGGAAAATTACTGCAGAGCTAACTGTAAAAAATAACAATACTTCAAATTTAAAATAACTCCATACTCATTTGTATATTGAAGATATGTACATGTAAATATGAATACAGTCTGTGTAATGATGGTGGTCCCATAAGATTATACTGTAATGGAGCTGAAAATTTCCTCTCGCCTAGTAACGTCGCATTTGTCGTAGCGTCGTAGCGCTGTAGCGCAGCACATTGCTCACTGCGCATTGTTTGTGGTGATGCTGATTTAAACAAACTTACTCCTCTGCCAGTAGTATAAAAGTATAGTGCGTACAATTATCTACAGCACATTATACTTGATAATGATAAAATGTATCACTAGTTTATGTATTTACTATACTGCATTTCTATCATCAACTAGGCTATAGTATGTATCCTAGGTGTATAGTAGGGGTTTACCGCCTAGTTTTGTGTAAGTTTACTCTACAATGTTTACACAATGATGAAATCGGCTAACGACACATTACTCAGATCATATTCCCCTCATTAAGCGATGCATGACTTTTACATTAGACTGTAAAATGTTCATTTTGCTAATTAGATGTGGAATGTTTTATTGTAATTAATTTTTTCACTCCGATATCCAGAAAATTGCCTTCAGAGTCGCCGTAGGCACAGTCGCTCCGTGTCGTTTTTAACCTCTGCTGTGGAGATGGTGTCACACGTGAGCCCAGACTGAAGCTGTTATCTGTCAGATTTTCCTTCAGTCGCGTACGGTGAACCTGAGCCAGCTGAGAGCAGACACTCCGCATTCCTCATACCTGTCAACACGGAAATGTTCAAAGAATTACTTTAAGTGTTGGATACATTAAAACCACAATTGTTCTGCCGATTATATGAATCACACAAGTATCTTTTGCAGACTGTTAAATTTGACAGTATTTATTGTTCTATTAGGAAATGTGATCTATGCTTGGTACATTTCAGCAGGTCTGGTCTTGTGTATTATGTCGATTATATAGTCATGGGGGAGGTATGTACCTTATCCGCTTTTTTAATAATACGTGCTTTCTGTATCCTCTCCAGTTTGTTTTCAAAAAGTAACCTTCACGTGGTATGTAACGAGGCCGCTGATTGGCTGTTGCCAAGAAACGCGCATGCCGCCGAAGGTCTGTGGAGAGCTGCGCTTGGCTTTCTCACTTTCCAGTTGTCACGTGACCCACTTGTGGGGAGGCTCAGCCATCTGGAGGAGTAATGGGGCGGGGCCTGGCTCCACTCGAAGCAAGGCTGTAATATGAGCTGTCACGCCCCCCCCCCTTTGCGAGGCCCTCTGTGCTCTATTGTTAAGAGTCTTCTCGGCATCTGGGGAGGGGGAGGAAATGGGGAGCAGGAGGAGGTATTTTCTGCGTCGGGCTAGGCAGCTGTGCTGAGATCACACAACTCTCACCGGCGGAGCCAAACACGCAGCGGGCGGCGTGAGACTGCAGGCGCTGCCGGGCTGCCGGGAATGGTGCGTGTCCCAGCTGTCACTGCGAGCTGATTGGCTGCTGCCTCTGAGGCGGAGACGTGAGCTCTGGCTTCCTCGTGCGCTGGAGAGACGGCGCGGAGACGGCAGCGACCCGCTCTGCCCCGAGGCCCGCCCAGAGCCCCGCCATCCGGCCCCGGCTTTGTTGGGCTCAGGCTGATTCTCACCCGCCCGGCCTCTCTGTGCCCGTGACAGGAGCTGGCCCAGAAGATCCGGGGCTACCAGGAGCAGATCGCCACCCTCAACTCCAAGTGCAACATGCTAACGGTGAAGGCCAAGCACGCCACCATGCTGCTGACCGTGGCTGAGGTGGAGGGGCTCTCTGAGGGACTGGACGAGCTGGACGCCGAGGCCCTGCCCACACCCCCCCCTGTGGTGATGGTAAGAGTCCCTCCGCCCTCTCTCTCTCTCTCTCTCTCTCTCTCTCTCTTACTCACCCTTCACACGGTGATGTGCACCTCTGCCAGGACTCTATCCCTCCCCGAGCTCTCGTATCCCGCTCCGAGTTCCAGTGTCCTTTTACAGCGGGACGGACCCCCGGCCGCGCACCAGGATTCTCATTGCCACGGTGTTGCATCATGTGGCAGCAACAGCGTGGCTACGCACTGGGGCTGCGAGTACGTGGTGGTTTCCCAGCAACCAGAGAGCCGGATCGCGATGCCGTCGTTATTCGGCACTTCGCTTGCTTTTTTGTGGCTTAATTTTAAATTCACGGCATGAGCTTTTTCTCGCCGGTCTGATCGAGCACGAGCAGCGGGATGCAGGCTCACACCGAGAGACACAACAGCCACGATTGTGATCTCGGCAATAGATACCGGCCGGGGCTTCCGTGCTGTTTGAGAGTGCCGCTCTCCTCACCTCTCGCACGGGGATACTAACCACTCTGGCGAGGAGTAAGAGTCACGGCCTCCTGCGTGCTGCTACCGCCACAGTGACCGCCAGCCGCACCGCTGTCGCGTTCCTGGTGTTCTGCTACCGCCACAGTGACCGCCAGCCGCACCGCTGTCGCGTTCCTGGTGTTCTGCTACCGCCACAGTGACCGCCAGCCGCACCGCTGTCGCGTTCCTGGTGTTCTGCTACCGCCACAGTGACCGCCAGCCGCACCGCTGTCGCGTTCCTGGTGTTCTGCTA